AACTGCCAAGCCGCCCTTAGAGTCCCGACGTGAGACACAGCAGACAGAAGGGCCTAGAGGGAAGGACAATCAACCCACCTGTCTGATGGTGGGATGGGGAAGAGTCCGCCTGCCAGCAACTACTTTGCAGTGTCCTTCTCCTTTGCCCCCAAAGGCAACAGTCGCGACTACTAGCTCCGCAGCTTTCCCCAAGCACACAAAGAGGGATGGGCGGCGGCTGCTACGGCAAGAGCTGAGGGACAAATGGCTTCACCACAACGAGGTCGCTCCCAGAAAAAAAGGGAGGAGCCCTGCTGCGGGAAACTGTAGCCCCTCTGTGACTTACCTGTGTAAAGCAGAAGCCGAGAGATGAGACAAAGAATCCGCCCGGGGTCCCGAAGTATTTCCGCTTTGCCCAAACCTGTAAGACGAAGGCTAATAGCCTGGGGCTGGGTAAGCAAACACCCACCTCGCCTTAAGGATCGACTCGACGAGGGAGAACTACAAGCCCCAGCTACAAGGAAAACCTGCGTACGGCGAGCAATGCACTCTGGGAGTTGTGGTCAACGGTAGTCGCAAAGTATGCTGGGACATGTAGTGTTCCCTAGTCTTTCGATTTTTCCCACTTTGAGGCCTTCCTTCAAGATTCCAAAGAGAAGCTTCCAGGAGTTCTCCTTAATGTAGTCTTGTCCGCTGGTCATTGCTCACAATGTTGTATGTGTTATACCTTAAGATCTTTGACTCAACATTGGCCGAATGTTTTTAAGAAGTGTTATTTTCAAGTGGTGAACCTATGTATTACACTGAACATTTGGTGAACACTTTCTAGGATATTTATACCAGTATTAGAAAAAAAACGCCTTACAGAGCTTTAAGCAAAATCTAGAATACAAAATCTAAATTTTGAAAATGTAGTGTAACCTCATCTGTCAAAAAAATGTGAGAAATTGTCTTTAATTAGAAAGAGATTTGTAAATCTTTACTCAGTTTTCACTAGTGTTCGTGGTTGTAAACTGGCTTCATTGGGGTGTTACAGTTATGAAAATTAGCAAGAAAACCTCTGATTCCTATATTTCCTCCCAAATTTCTTTAAATTTAAGTTTCTTTAAATATTCCATGTACACATGGAATATTTATTTGAGCCTGCAAATAAAATGATAACTGTTGCAATCAATGAATCAATAAGAATATGTTAATCAGCATAGCAAATAATTCCTCAGTGTTTTGTTGCAGTGTGGTAGGTAGCATTTGGGTTTTATCTCAAAGAATTTTTTAAAAGAAAGCATTTTATACTATTGGAATCTAAACCAAGCAAGAAGGTTTCCACAGTTTTAGATTTTTTTAATATACAAAGAAAGCAAAAGTTATGGAATATGAATTTACCAGAAATGTGTGGATTGATACACATTTTTTAAAATTTTATTTAAAGAATTTAAAGCATTATTTAGCAAGAATTAAAGCTGACACCAAAGCAATGTCTTTCTTATATTCTAGAAGGACATTGCCCAAGTCTAGCAGTAATCCTAGGATTCAAAATCTAAGTCCTTGGGCCTGTGTCTAGTCTTTTCCTTGTCTTGCTCTGCCTATATACAAGATAAATATCTCAGAAATAAATTTGAGAAAGGAAATCCTTCAATTCCAAGGCTTTCCCCCATAACCTAAAATTTCAAAGAGGTTTATAACTATACTCCCTTTCTGTTTTCTTTCTTTTTTCCTAATATTTAGTTTTCATTTATTAATTTGAAGAATTGTTATTGATTACCTACTGTGTGCCAGGACCGGTAAGAGCTAAAATGCATATCTCTGTTCTCAAGGGGGAAGGACAGTCGGGACACTCAGTTCAACTAAGTATTATGATGGGATTAAGTAAGGAAGTGATGGAAAAACTCTGAGAAATAAAATTTTCAGGAGGAGGTGATTCCAGAGCTAAGTCTTTGATTCTGGAAGGTTAAGTAGAAGTTTGCCAAGCAAAGTAGATGCATAAGGTTGCCTTAGGAAGAGGAAAGAATATGGCCAATGTACAGAGAAGGTGTGAGATCAGGGACTACTGGAGAATCTGGAAATAATTCAGAATGGCTGTAGGCTAAGACAAAAACTGGGGAAATGAAGCCATAGGCAGGGGTGAAGTCACATATTCCAGTTTAGATTTAGTCCTGAAGATGATGTGAATCCACTGATAGATTTTAAGTAGGAGAATGGTATGATAAGTTTAGCATATTAGACAACTGACCTTTTGAAATGTCTGAGGAAAGGCTGGTGTGCTGGTATTTTCTATTTGGCCCTTGGACTCATTTCCTGCCCTTCTCTGCCAAGCTCATGCCTCTGGGGGTTGACCTCATCTTCTTTGAGGTTGGGTTTAATGAAAGTGAGGCTTAGGTAAGGTTATCAGAAGGCAGATGGAAAGTGAAATTGGCACCTCTTCCCCACTCCTTCTCTCCTTTGATGTTATATCTCTAGCAGTAGCTTCATCCCTCCATGACTACAACTCCTGCCAGGTGGCCCCTTCTCTATGGCTCTGCCTTTCACTGGGCTCTGGAAACTTTATCTTCTCTCATTGTCTCTTTATCTTCTCCTCTGTCACTAAGTGTTTCACCAACTCTTATTTGCTCCCTTACCTCTGCTAGCCCCTCTGCAACTGATCCTTTCATTAAAAGACCTTCATTTGAACTATTTGAGTGAACTCTGTTTCTTCCTGAGACCCTTATTGACCCTGCTTGGTTGGAAGGATGGGATATGGAGAGAACAGGCAGAGTAGAGACTAGAAGCAGGGAATGCAGTTGGAAGGCTTTTGGATGGAACCAGAAATTACATGTGCATGAGCCAATGCATTAGCAGTAGGGATTAAGCAAAATAGATTAAAGAAATATTAACATTGTGTAAGACTTTTACAGCAATAAAGCAGAGTAGTACCCCAACTGACCTTCCCACTGAAAACAACTAAAAATGAGGATAAAATACTTTCCTTCTTGCTTTAAGAAGCTGGCAAGACAGTAAAGAATACTTAGGATAAAAGAAGGTAGGAACCTTGAGGGCATTTACCTAACCTTGTGAATTTTCACAGCCCTGTAGGGGTCAGATCACAAAAGACACAGCCCAAGGCCTACTCTAGACTGGGATTTTAAAAAGAAACCTCCAAACACATCCTTAATATAAGAAATCCACTCCTACTCCTGAAGGACTGCCCAACAACTTTGCCACTGAGGGGGGTGGGAATAAAGAGGCAATTCTCTGAGAATGTGCAGTCACAAACGGGCCTTCATGTGGATTTTCAGCCTGAAATGTCAGTACTTGGATGGTTCGTAAAAACACAGATGGAAAATTTTGTTTACAGTTGTCCCAGATTTGTCATGTACTCAGGTGCCTAGGAGAAGCAAACATGAATCTTTTTTATAGAAATCCATCCTTATTCCAGGCTTTGGAGAATTCTACACAGACAAATTTTAAGAAATTTGAGCTCAAAAATCACAAAACACATGAAGAAAGAAGGCACCAAAAGCAAGAGCCAACCAACTAAAACAACAGCAGAATAAGACCCATAAGGACTTCAGATATTGGAATTATCAGACACAGAATATAAAATAAGTAAGGTTAACATGTTGAAAAAAATTAAAGAAGGAACTTAAAATATGAGTAAAACAGAAGATTGTTAAAAGAACCAACTGGAACTTCTAGAAATCAGTAATGTAATAACTGAAATTAAAAACTCAATAGATGAGTTAAACATAGCTAAAGAGAGCAGTATTGCCCTTACACAGCATTGGACACTATGCTTTGGAGAATGTGCAGGCCTTCATCCAGCCACAAAAAATCTGCATGGCTAAGGATATGGTAAGTCACAGAGAATCTATATGCCCCCTTCTGGATTATACTTCTGCCACCAGGGGCCCTGAAATTCCCAGTTCAGATGGCCCCAAGCCTGCTTCCATTTCCTCATGCAGACCCCTTCCTTAGGTCTGTCCCCCTGAGAGTAGACTGTGCCCTCAGGGGGTGGGCAGGAAATGGCTCTCATGGGACTATGGATGGAATTAGGATTTGTAAATTGGGTGTCTAAATGTGTACATTTGATGTCCCTTGCAGTGTGGAATGGAGCTGAGGAGAGAAGACAGGGGTTTGGGGTTAACAGTTAGGAGTTAGCTCTCCCTATGCCACTATATTATAGGGCAGAGCTCTAGGTATCCAAGAATTTTAAATTCAAACTTGGTCTTTGTCAAGATCAGAGGACAGAATCTATTTTATTTAATACTTTATTAGCTTGATTGCTAACTTTTAAATATATTTATATAGTATGTTGCCTTCCATTTGTACTCTTAAAGACTAGATCTTCTTGCATTCCATAAAGGATGGCACACAGGGCACACAATTTTTCAGATTTTCTTCTGGATCTTTTGATGAGAGGTACAGATTTCGTCTCTACTCTCAGGATGCCATCTCATTTTTCTTCTTCTGCCCTTCCCCACAATGAATCCATTAATTTTTTTCTGTATTCATCTCTGATTAAGGTGAGCTCCAGACACGAGGTCTGTGAACATGCAGGGGAAGTCCATGGTCCCGTTCTCTGTTCACCTGTGAGATGGTGGAGGGGCAAAGTGGAGGAAGTCTGGTGAGGGCAATGCCCAGCCTGGTGACCTGTGCTCCACCAGGAGGCCTCTTCCTCCCACCCTCCCCCCAGCAAAGTAGCAGGTTGCTATGGAACTCAGGTTCCTCAGTTTCCACCTCTGCACTTTATTGCATCTCCCATGATGCACTGCACCTCCACAAGCATCGCCTACTGCCTGGTGGACTTAAATTATTTGTCTGTAATGTCTGCCTGATTGCCTGAAAACTTAGGGCCGTGGAGCAGAGCCGCGTCAGCCCTTCCCGACTCAGACATGAGATTTTCCTGTTGCTGCCGTGGATTTGCTTTCTCCCCCTCGCCCTCTTCCTTCCATCCTTCCTTTCTCCTGTCTACGTCTTCACAGACGTTTTAACATGAAGACAGGAGCAGCTGCCCATTTAAATTGGTAATCATATTACTAGTATCATCTCTGGTCCCTTCCCTACCCCAATTTTGTTTTTTCCCTAATCCATTACTGTCACAAGCTCCGGCTTAAGTGGGCTTTAGAGAAGGAGAGAATGAACACGGTAGGCTGAGCTGCAGAGGGAGAGCCAGGCAGGCGTGCATCTTCCCAGCCCAGCCTCGCACCCCACCGTGTGCTCTTGTAATGCTGGCATTTCTGGCTTACACGAGCCACCACT